AAAAACAGTCAAAAAATACCCCAACATCATCAAACACTGTAGAACAATCGTCCCCAGAGTATTCATTTATCATCCGACTCAACGCTAAGCCCTTATGGGGCCTCCTGCTACCTCTTAGACGAAAAACATAGCCGCACCGGCGGCTGCGGGGGCCGGGCCGGCTGGGCCGAGACCCCGCGGACCTGGAGAGCGATTCGTTTGCGGGTGCCCCGCGTCCGTGCGACCGCGCATCCGCGGGATCACGCCCCAGAATTAGGTCGGGCATGCCCTCCTTCAGGCGGACGGTGGGCGACAAAGTTAAAAACAGACTCAAAAGCATGCACCAACGATGCCCAGCAACTAATTCTGCGCATTCCATCCTGTCGCGGGACGGGCCCGACTTCACCCCAGAATCGAGACCGCGAGGGCGCGGGCACGGATATGTCCGCAACTCGTGAGGCCTGTCGGGGTCCATTCGGGAGCGGCTAAGAGGGGGGCGTCCAAGAGGGGGGGGGGGGGGGGGGCAAATCATGGCGGGCCGCGCACTGGCGCGCCCAGCGGGGGGGGCGGACGGGGACGCATTGAAACAAGAAGAGGCGCCATGAAATCTGGGGAAGTACCATGGCCCCCGCCATGATATCCACCCCCCCCCTGGCATCACCCCCCTCTTTGCCGCCCCCGATCCATGGGCGCAGCCCAGATCTCCGACGCCTCGGAGCGCGCGGGCCCCCCGGAGGCCTGGACAGCTTCCCCCGCGACCAGGAGAGCCTCATGCCGGGGATCGCCTCTTGACGGTCCCAGGGCCCAGCGAGGGCCCTCCGGGGCAGCAAACCAAACAAAAAAGATAGCGTTCAGTCGGGCGCGTCCCACCGCAGGCGGATTTTGGCCGACAGATAAAAAACAACTACTCCCAAATGATCAAGCATAGTCAAAAAATCGTCCCAAACCTATTGTTTGACTAGTTCTGCTGGAATATTCCCCTGTAGAGGGGCAGGCCCGACTTCAAGATAGCGTGATTTTCCACACCGGGAGAAAAGTCGGAATCCTGACCGCGAGGGCGCCGATGTTGGAGCAGGGTCCGACCGTCCCGGCATTCCTGAAGTCCTACCACGAAACGTTCCTGGAACCCAACAATGTTCCAATAACAAAAACAATATTCTTAGAACATAACACCGATGTGCTAAAACAAGACAGTCCCGGCGAGAACTGTTCTAAGAACATTTCGTGGGAACCACAAAAGGTTCTCAGAACATTGTTTAGTGGGCCTATAGTCGGCTACACGTAAGAGTGACCCTGGGTAAGGGTGACCTTTGGTGCACGGGGCCTCGGGGGGGCCAAGCGCGAGCGCGCAAGACGCCACTGCCGCCTCGCTTTCGGCGATCGGGGACCCCAATGGGCCCGCACCAAAGGTCACTCCGGCGAAGGGTCACCCTTACGTGTAGTCGAATGATAGGCACGCCAAGACGCTTCGCCACTGCTTGAATGATGCGGCTGCGTCCGCCGCTCGTGGCCCCCGGCGGCCGGGGGTCCGCGTCGCTGCTCCCGAGGCTGAGCGGCAGGGCCTCCGGCCGCCCCCGCCCCGCCGCAGGAGGGGCGGCGCCCGGGGCCGCGGGCGCCCGTCGAAGCACTCTCGCCGCGGGGGAGGAATGGGAGGAGGAGGAGGAGGAGGAGGAGGAGGAGGAGGAGGAGTGAGAGAGCGGAGGAGGAGGAGGAGGAGGAGGATGGGGAGGCGGAGGAGGAGGAGGAGGAGGAGGAGGAGGAGGGTGGAGCGTCTGGGGGGGCCAGGGGGAGGAGGAGGAGGAGGAGGAGGAGGAGGAGGAGGAGGAGGAGGAGGAGCAGGAGGATGAGGAGGAGGAGGAGGAGGATCAGGAGGAGGAGGAGGGGGAGGAGGAGGAGGAGGATGAGGGGCAGGAGGGCAAGCTAGGTGCACTCGCGTCATATCTGACATCCTACCCCTCCCTCCCATCCCTTACCATGGCGTAGATCCGCTCTCTACTCGCTCAGTCGGATGTCGAGCAGGGCAATGATGGGTACGCGATGCATTGTAGAGCACGGCATGGCATGGCGTAGAAGAGCACCGCAAAGCGTAGTATCAACCTAGCATTGCAGCGCATGCCGTGGCATGGCACGGGAAATGACGCCAGCGCTGCAGCGGGAGCAGGAGTCGAAACGAGCGGAAGCGTGGAAATGAGGCCAGCGCTGCAGCGGGAGCACGATTCGGAACGAGCGGAAGCACAGAAATGAGGCCAGCGCTGCAGCGGGAGCACGATTCGGAACGAGAGGGCCCGAAAATGAGGCCGGCGCCTCAGCGAGAGCAGCATTTTGAAAACAAACGCAATCGAAAACCCAACTCCGGGGAAACCTGTGTGTAAAAAAACATGGCGCGGGGGGGGGGTCGAACACTCCCAGGCCGTCATCAGGGGAAGAGGGAGAGTAGTATTCATATTGAGTAATTGTGGAGGAGGAGGGGGAGGAGGAGGGGGGAGGATTTTGACTGGAGGAGCGCGAGAGCGCGGGGGGAGGAACAACGGAGGCTCCGACCACACTAAGAGTTGGCTGGGCCCGGAACGTCGAGGGGTTAGAGCTATCTCCTTGCGCTGACTCGCCCTTCGGTGGCTCGCGCTCTCTGCTGGGGAAGCTTGCCCATCAGAAGCGCCGCTATATTTTATCGTCCACGGGATGTGATTTGCCTTCCTCCGGCGACCTTGCAGGAACTACCAAACCCCTCTTTCAAACTCGCGCAACGGAGTAGTGTCCACAGGCCTCACAAAACAGCGCCCCAAAAACTCTTGTCTGGATCTTGTGGGGGCCGTGGATTTCACTCCCATGCAAAGTCGAGGGTGGGGGGGGGAAGGCAGCCGCTAATCTGCCAGGGCACGGGGTACGAAGTACATCGAAACAACATTTTCTCCCAGTGCGTCCGTCGCACTGGGAGCACTGCCAGAAGGGTCTTGGAAGGTTCGAGGTCAAATGCTCGGATTCCATCGACGGTTAGTTGAGCTGGTTGGCATTCCTGACCACCGCGGGAACTCTGGGCCTCGCCGCCTTGGCCCTGGGCGGTGGCGAGACCCGAAAACGACCCGAATCCAGCATCACGGCGACGAGGTGCCTTCGAACCCTGAACGCCACAGCTTGGACCAGGCCAGCGCCCGCGGTCTGAGCACAGGGGAGCTGTGCCTCCTCAGCTCTGGGACCCGCGAGTTCGTCAACCTGCTTATTCGCGTGCCAGTGAACCAGGGAGGAACCTCCTGTCGGCCTTGGACTCAACCCAAACAACTTCAACCTGAGCACCAGCACAGTCTCTGAGCACGCGATCGATCGCCAACCAGTCCGCTCGATCATATTCGGGCACAACTCCTCGACGGAGTCTTTTGAAATTCATCAGGACATAAGTGCTGTCAATTATATACATACTGGCGGGTAACACACGCAGGGTAAGCAACCGCAGCCTGGCGCACGACGAAGAAAGCACGGAGCTCGCCCCTGTTGATTGACTGCTTGAGTTCCAAGGGTCTTCCCCACGACTTTAATTCACGCATATTGGTCTGATGGCTGTGGGACCCGTCCTGGAAGATACGGGTCGCCCAGCTTACTCGCCTCAGCAGCGGGTCCGAAGGGTGATCCCCCCACTGGCATCGCCAGCTCCCAACACCACACCAGAGGGGCTCGAAAGGTCCCATGAGGAGAGGTCGAGGTCCAGGGGAGGGGGTTCTTCGAGGGGGGATCTACTTGGATCCAGCCTGCTGGAATTAAACCACGGTGTCAAACACAGGGGATATTATCACACTCTTCCCTCGCACGAGCGACTAAAGCCTGCGGGGCACAATGCTCTAACTCCAGGTTGCACGGGCATTCCCAATGAGCCTGCTTTGGAGTCTCGGGGCCTGCTTACATCGAGGACAGAAAGGCTCGACCTCACGATGTAGGTCATGCACACGCTGAGCTGGCCAGCTGTTGCCTGTAGAAATTGCCTGGAGGGCCCCGAAAGACGCGCACTCTCCCTTCGTACGGAGCCCTCGTATAAATCTTCTGAGGGAATCCAGGTGCAAGATGCCTCTCTCCAGGCCAGCACCTAAAAAACTCGCTGCCAACAACCTGCCACATGGACCGCTGAATCGGAAACGAAAACAACGATCTCAAATCAGAAAAATCCAGATCCCTGACCGTGCGTCCCTCGGTCGGGTCAAAAAACTTGATGTTGTCAGGGCTGCGCCAGTGCAAGGGCCCTAAAGGCTCCCAATCATAGCGCAGCAGGAGGCAGCCCGTGGCGGAACAGATGCCCCTCACGTGGAAATAGCGGGTGGGCGGCTTCCTGCCCTTGAGGTCGGCGACCAGAGGAGGAGGGGGAGGAGGAAGAGGAGGGGGAGGAGCAGGATAAGAGCCAGGGGAGAGGGGGGGACCTCACCAAGGGGGCGCCAGGTCTCCTGCGCGCTGGGTGAGGGAGGGGCTGGCGAAGGCAACGCTCCTTGCCCTCAAGAGCTCCGTGCCTGGCTCGCGCCATGCCCGCAATTGTGGCTGGCTGGACCCGCCACCCCTCCCATCTGCGCATCCTCAACCCTCTCCGCCTCCTCCTCCTCCTCCTCCTCCTCCTCTTCCTCCTCCTCGTCTTCCTCCTCCTCCTCCTCCTCCTCCTCCTCCTCCTCCTCCTCCTCCTCCTCCGCCTCCCCCTTCTCCCTCCACCGCCCGCCCCATGTCCCGAGCCTGTGGCTCGTCGTCAGCTCGTGGTTGTTGTTGTCGTCGTGGTCGTCGTTATCGTCGTCCTTCTTTGGTCGGCGGCACTGACCTTAAGGCCTTCGCGATATAAGGTAACACGTCTATGCAGAGCACAATCGAAGCACGAGCAGCGAGCGGAAACGGCAGCAAAGAATTGGCATTCGAGCGTCGGCGGAATATGTGGAAAGACCGTCGGGGAGGGCAGGGAGGAAGGAGCAGAGGCGAGCAGAGGCCTGACACGCAAGCATATGACATGGGGAATCCCCTCGGGCCGCACAGCAGAAGAGGCACGGTTTGGCCCCCTCGCGGAAACGTCGTCATCACCACCAGCATCACCGATCGCATCGTCATCACCGCCAACATCATCGTCGTCATCAGCGTCATCATCCGGCGGTTTGTGGTCCAACGGTTACAGACTGTACGGAGGAGGGAGGCGAGGACGGAGCAAGGAAAATGGGGGGCCAATGGCCAAAACACAGATCTCAAGTGATCTGTGTGGCAAGCCTGCACATCCGGGAAGAGCTGTCGCAAACGACGGGGGACTATTTCACAGCTTGGGGAGGAGGTCGGACCGGGAAGAAAACGGTAGGCAATGTGCTGGATTCCTGGAGCACGTTGCGCCCCGCAGTTGCGGAGAAGAGTGAGGGTGCGGGGAGGACGTCGTCAGTCGGCGAGGCTCTGAAGAAGCCCGCCGCAGGCGCCTACCTTTTACGAATTATGCAGTGAGCCCACCGCAGGCGCCGATTCTTTCGTCAAAACAACGCGGGATGGGTCGCGGGTGGGTAACGGGTGGGTCGCGGGAGGGTCGCGGGTGGGTCGCGGGTGGTTCGCGGGTGGGTCGCGGGTGGGTCGCGGGTGGGTCGCGGGTGGGTCGCGGGTGGTTCGCGGGTGGTTCGGGGGTGGTTCGCGGGTGAGCGCGGGTGAGTCGCGGGTGGGTCGCGGGTGGGTCGCGTGTGGGTCGCGGTGTGGGTCGCGGTGTGGGTCGCGGGGTGGGTCGCGTGCTTGGTCGCGGGGTGGGTCGTGGGTGGGTCGCGGGCTGGGTCGCGGGATGGGTCGCGGGATGGGTCGCGGGGTGGGTCGCGGGCTTGGTCGCGGGGTGGGTTGCGGGGTGGGTCGCGGGTGGGTCGCGGGCGGATCACGGGGTGGGTCGCGGGTGGGTCGTGGGTGGGTCGCGGGCTGGGTCGCGGGGTGAGTCGCGGGGTGGCCGTTCGGCCCCCTCACTCTGACCAGAAAGAAGAGACTGACATATTTGTCATCGCGCGGTAGTTCTGTGCAAAAACAACAAATTGAAGATCTCCGGAGCGCCTGCTATCCCTATAATGTGGCGCATTCGTAGGTGTCGTCGTAGTCGTAGAGTAGCCGCTCCGCTCGTGACAACGCCGCCGATTGAATGGCACAGCGGTGCTGTGCAACCTGGGTGACCAGTGAAAATTGGCGTGCTTCGACTGGGAAACCGAAGTCCTTGAGGTGGCATGCCATGTGGGCGGGCATGGCGATCCGCGCCCCCCCAACCAGCCGCATAAGTGCATCGCGCTCAACTCTAATGACGGCCACGGAGGGTGACCTCACTTGTCTTGCGTGCGTGAGTGTGGGGGAAGGCCGCTGGCGGAACTGGGCTGTTGTCTTGGTCAAGCCGAGGCTGAGGCCTTTCATGGTGGTGGTGATGTGTTAGAAGGCTCTGAAGCAACCCGCCGCAGGCACCTAGCTATGCCGTGAGCCCGCCGCTGGCGCCGATCTTGTCGTTGAAGCAATGTGGGTGGATCGCGGGGTGGGTCGCGGGTGGGTCGCAGGCTTGGTCGCGGGGTGGGTCGCAGGGTGGGTCACGTATGGGTCGCAGGCTTGGTCGCGG